TGACTAATACCTGAATTCGAGCAAAAAATGTAAAATACCGTTTATACTTCTTATGTGGGCTGTCACACGGCATCGCTAAAACCCTAACTTCCGCTGATAACAGTGTCACCTGAAGAAAGCTGTCACCTTTGAAGAAAACTTGATGATACTCTCTTCCAACAGACTTTATTTCTCAGCTCAGTTCTTGATAACGCCTTTCCGTTCCAATGATAGTTCTTTTTTGGCTCTCTTCTGGTAATCGTAAACATTTTTTCATTGACTCATGACACTACATTGTCACTAGATCAAGTACTTAATCGCTATAAATACAACGCTTCCATAAGCCTCGACAGGATTACATTGAATTTTTCCTGATTATTCAAAAGCTTTTTCTTCTACTATGAAAGTTATTCTACTACTTTCGCTAGTTCTCTGCGTTGCTTTTGCCTATGTGACACGAGTGGCCGAAGATAATGATAAACCTCCATTTTGCGACGTCTGCTTAAATCTAGTCAAAGAGCTGAAAGAAGCTCTGAAAGGGGGAAAACAATTAAAGGAGGTACGCACGTAGAACACTGAATCTAGTAAGAATACATTATCACAATTACTCCTGAGAACCTTCGAATTTTTCCAGGTTGCTCATAAATTCTGCAGCGAAAAAATGCCAGATTATCTTATAGCAGTATGCCACATAGAAGTGGATAGATACTGGAAGAAAATCATGGAATTAATAGAGGTGGGCTTCAGCAAGTATGCCAAAAAACCAAGCAAAAAAACAACTTTCACTCTTTTGAAAAGATGAAACAGCCTGAAAAGAATTTTGGCTAGTATTTTTCATTCATATTCAAAACCATTTATTTCAGAAAAACGTCGATTCCGAAAAGATCTGCCAGATGTTCCATCTTTGCTAGTCGTCAGTTACGTTAACGTTCTTTTTACAATTCTGATTTGTAAATATTGTTCATGTACTTAATCATGTACATATTGTTAACATAAACATTTACGATGTCATTTTGTTTTCGAAAAAGACAAAGCAAGGTGATTCCAGATTTTACAGAGAAGAAATTTAGATTATTATCCTAGCAACCTAAAGTTTGAAGAAGATCAAGTACTATAGCCCTATGACAAGATCCCATAACGACGCCAGTATAACTTTGACTTTTTTCCACTAATGAGGCTCATCCACAGTGATAGTTATTTTAATTATGGTTTGACTCCCCTTCTCATCATGTGACTTGAAAATAACCTCAGGAAAATTATTTGTTTGAGCGCAGCATTAAATCAACTTGTTCAATGGCCATGTTAATCGATTTGGAATTGTTCGGATCGAGCAAATACCTAGAGAAAGCGAACAGTTTCACTGTCCAGATTTTTACAACCATA